ATCTCTCCTTTTAATAACAGATTTCCAACACCTTTGTCTCTTCCTGTCTTCCTCCTTGGGCTTTTCCTTTCTCTGACCCTTGTGTGCGTGACAGCAGATCAGCATCATTAGCAAGTCAATAGTCTTTGGCTAGTAGTCTCCATTGTTCTGTTTGGGCCGTGGTACTGTCCTACACTGGGGGTGGTTGTGCTTCCCCTTGGGCTTAGACAAAACACCAACTCTACATCGTTGTATTGTTTGTTAAATATCAGGGATTGGACTGTCTGCAGCCATTGTCTGAATTCCTGCAGATGGATAAACCCCTTGTGACTAAGTTAACTCTTTGCGTTCATGTAGTAGGCATCTTCATATTCAGTGGTGATTACAATGTTCATAAAAATAATACAGCTATCTCCTATGCTTTCCACAATAAGCATTTTATATAATTGGGGAAACAGGGAAATTTCAGTTATATCATAAACATTTTGTGAAACCAGCACTTTCTGAAGCTTTCATATATATCCCACTTCATTTCAATCTACCAGCTAGCTGCAACATTAATCTACCCTGTGTTGAAAGTCAATATACGTTTCTGCTAAAATGCATGGTGTTGTGAATGCTTTTATTGTGTCACTTCTTTTAAATGGAATTTGGTCACTTAGGGACTTTAGAAAATCCATACTCCATAAGAGATGAGTTGACATCACTGAGATTATTGCGGAATATATGGCTATCAAGGTGAGTCAAAGTATTGGAAATTGGTGCAATGTTAGTGTATTTGGCATTTGAAAGGAACAGGGAGGCTAGGCAGGACTGTCAGAGTTAATATTCTCTTCCATTGACATTGATGATGAAGAAGAAAACCCTACTTCTTATATAATTTTTTTATTTTCTTGTTTTGTCAGAATTTCAGGTTCCTCTATTTCTATGATTCAAAACTTTTTTTCTACCCATCACATCTTGAGCTATATCTTAAACAACTGTTGTTTTACTTAGAGAAAGTCCTGACAAATAGTGTAACTTAGTTTAAGTAAATTCAGATTTGTGCTTCAATGTAAATAGAAATGATTGATAGTTCTGTGTGCGCCTAGTGATGGGAGTCTTCATAGCCCTACAACAAAATGTGATTCATCCTGACATGTGGTTTAAAATCCACATAACAAAAAGACCACTTATATGTTAGGGATCCTAAGCAAACTCTCAAAAGCAGATAAACTGCCTGTAAAGGATTAATTCTCCCTTACCTGAGTCTAACAAATAATGACAGAGAACAATAAAGTGTCACCCCACAGTGACTCAGTGTGGGAAGTCCCATGCCTAACTGTGGAGAAACTTCTGGCTTTTGTGCTTTGGTTTTGGAATTTATTTCCTGCATAATCAAACTATTTGTGTTGGGTTTCAATTATGTTGCTGCTTCCCTACCCTCATTCCTAAATCTGTGAACCATAATGTGGCTATATATGGTGTTCCTTATAATGGAAACTGGTGTATGCAACCAGGATATACTCTGGTGGTTTTAGCACTAAAATTGATAGTTGGAAAAGAACCCAAAAGGATTAATGTTTATGGTATTTTAATCATCTCAATCTTTGTGTAGTCATCTTACTGTAATTATCATTAATGCAATAAGTCATTTTGGCTTATTGTACATTTAGGGTGTACAATTGTACTTTATGACTTCTTAAGAGAGTTTTTCTGTGGGTTCAAGCATTATTGTTAGGTCTCATTACATGAGTTTTCTCCCTTTCCAACTTTTGTTTTTTATTATTAATTTTGTCAAGTAGTTTGAACAAGGGGCTAGTTGTCTGATTGTATTTTCTTCCTGGACTATGATAGACTTGCTGTCTGACCTTTATTAAACTAGTTAGCCACTTTATAATTTTTTACCCTATAAAATGGGGATAATGGTTACATTTGTTTCTAGGTAGTATGTACTTGCACATACCTGGGGACTAGAAATATGAACCTCGTTCCAAGCACAAGTGCCTTTACCAGTAGATATGAGGGATTTCTTGTTGTGTTACTAATAAAAATTCCCTTATACCCCCAACCCCTTTTTTTTTGCACTAGTTAACAGAAAGCAACATCACAAGCATGCAAAGCTAGTATAGTCAGCCTGATACTAGCAGGTGACAGAAACAAGTCACAGAAGCAACAGCTGGCCATGCCATATTCTGTATAGGAAATAATTTTGCTGCCCTGTCCAGAGGCCACAAGAAGAGAGCCAGCAGCTTTCTCTTGCCCAGATAACCTGAGTGAATCATTTTTTAAATCATTTACAAGTAACCCTGTTAGTTAAAGTAGCAACCATATGAATCAGGAAAGAAAGCTAAGTCTAAACTAATGAACATTCTCCAACCCTGATCCAAAGTCACAGGTCTGCATAACCTTCAGCTACTCATTTGTTTGTCTCCTGCCTGGTACTCTCAGCACTATAGTAGGATTTGCAGTGTTGTAGCTGTGATGGTCCAGGAAGCGTACAAAAGGCAATTTCAATATATCTGAGGCAGGGGGTATTTTTTGTGATATGTCTTATTGTACCAACTGTATAGTTGGGGTAGCTGCTGGACAAGCTTTCAGGCATCATGTGTCCTTCCTTGGGTACCTCAGGAACTTGATAGCCAAACACTTGTCCAACAGCTTTCCCAAGTCTACAGTTGATCCAATGAAAGATAACATAAAAAATCCCTGCTTCTGGTATAATTAAAGAATTCCATTTATTGTCAGACAAGATGGTTTCCTGAAAGGAAAAAAAATGGTGGAGTGGGTTTCTTAAAACATGTCAGGGGGAAAAGGTGGTTCCAAGATTGCAACTTTTTAAAGTTAATTTTCAATTAAATTGAATTTGCAATGGCTGGACTCCAAATGTATAGTACAAATACTGACAGGACCTTTCCTTTCAGTAGGGTGAGTGATACTGGTATATTAATGTGTCATTAAAATGTCATGATGCATGAATTAATCAGGGGAAAAAAGAATCAAATGACATATTTTTGATGCTGGTCTAAGTTTGGCTTACGTATTTATATAAACAATTCCACTGCCACCACAGTGCACCCCTGGCTGAATAATTTCATTGGCTGAGACTTCTGGAAGACTGCCACTAGTGATGTATCCTTATACTACACTGATAAAAGTGCTCCTAATGTATACATAGCTTATACTGTACTTTTGCTATAATGGCTTATTTCAGTCCCCATCAAATTTGGCACAAACCAAACTTTATCAGTATAACTGGGTCCACATAACAGATTTTTTGCTGACAGAGAAAAGTTTTGATTGTAGATCCCATCCTATTACATGTTTGATCAATACAGCTGTTCCAGCAAAAGGTTGTAGGGAAGACCTGGGCTTACTTTGGCTTGTCCACACAAGTGACTCTTGTGCTCTTATTGAACTCTGTGTGATTGCCTTCAAGAACATGGCTAAGATAATTTTATGGCTGGTATATGAGTTTTTTGCATTGGCAGAAAACCAAGTACTTTTAATGGACAGCCTGAATTGAATATTTGGGGTTGTACATCTTCAGTCACTGGAGACACCATGGCTAAAATCATCTCAGAGTCTTCCTCTGCTGGTTAGCAAAACCTCCTACCTCTCAGGTTCAGCTAGCTGTTTTTATCTAAGCACAAGCCAGTTTAGGAACTGTTGTGTTGCCATATGTTACAAAGGTACAGCTGTGTGTTATCTGAATTTTAGTGACTTTGTAAAGTGATCACCACATCATTGTTACTGTATAGTGTTATAATACAGAAAGGTTTGAATTTACTTAATGAAAAATCATGTACATTTGGAGTGGAAGTCATAAGAGAATTTCAGCAATTTATCTGCCTCAAATATTTTCTTGTGGGAATGTACCTTCAAGGGGTTCTGGTGCAAGCTGCTTGGCTTGGAGTGATTTCAAAGCAATAAAGGACAGTTCTGCCTTGCTGTTAGGGTCCACAGATCTGATCTATTTTTCATAACAAAGTCTATGGACTAGATCTTATAATCCTAACCTTAAATGGTGAAAGAAAAAAAATCCCTCTGGCACATCTACATAAGACGCTGACTGCACAGTAGCTCATGACTACTGTGCAGTAGCATAGCGAGGCAGGAAGTACGATGCAACAGTACCCGATAGTAGTAACAAGCTACTGCACAGTAACTACAGTTACTACGCAGTCATTTAGTACTTGTACAAACAAGTACTAAATGATTGTGCAATGATGACTTTGCAGTCAGCATCTTGTGTAGATGCGGCCTCTGAATGTCAGAAAGTAATGTGGTTGCTTACTCAGTTTTCATTTACACAAAAACCCAGAATATTGTACCTACGTGTCCTAATATAACACAAGATCAGTATTTGTGTTATCTAAAGATACACTTAATAAAACATTTCTCTTAAATATTTGAGAATGGCTACTAAGCTGCATTCTCTCTGTTAAGCTCTTAGGTGATCTACATGATCATTTATTTTATAGCTAAATAGAAATGCTCACATCTATCACTTCATTTTCAGAAATATATCTTGTTTTACTATTTTAATTATTATTCACCATTACCTGTTCTGAAGTTTTCAGGTAGTTCACACATGGACTACAGTGTTGCTGTAGTATCTGTGTAACACTGTCAAAATAGGTTTCATTTGAACTAAGTGAGTCATTGTCACTTTGCCTTTATAAAGAGCAAAGTCTTCTGAGGCAGAACAGTCACCACCCAAAGGAGCAGCAGAAAATAGGTTGCTGTGAAGAGATTGAAAAGAAACATGCTGAAAATTGGGTCAATGAAGTCCCCAATCCTACAGTATCATGGGTGGATCTTTAAGTTTGCCTGGGATCCAACTGATTTTTAGTGAAGTAAGACTACCACTACTGGGATCTTTTAAAGCAGTTTTTCATCTAATGAGGGGTGGGACACTTGGAGCAAGTTTTGCTGTATTAGTTGTGGTGGTTCTTTCTTTCTGATTCTCTCAGATTTTTAAACTTTGTAAAGATCTACCTACCTCAAAACAAATAAAAGACAAAAGGTAAACCATGATGTAAAGTTTATATACAAGAATATAACATTTATCTGGAGTATTTACAAGGTTGAGTAAAGCAATATTTTACAACTCTTTCAGGTTAACCACTAGGTATATTACAGTTTGGCTACAAATGATTTAATTTGCAGAGTAAAAAGAAAAAAAAAAATGCTGCATTTAGATGAGTTGGTGACAAAACTGGTCCTTTTTGGAGAGGGCTCAGGTTTGTAGAAAAGAAATAGGAAAGTGATTAATATGCTGTTATTTATGCATAGGTACCACATGCAGTCATTATAACATCTGTTATAGCATTAAACTAGATGGTATGCCATTTCAGAATAAAATCAGACCCAATGTGCAAGGCCAACACAAGGCAGAGTGGTCAGCTGCCATCATGCTGTGCCTTTAGTCACTATTTCACATTATACTCTAATGTACACACATCTATAGAGAAATGTAGCAATATAAAATTGACCAGCTTTCCTAGGATGACAAAAAAAGAAAAAGCTTGAAGCAAGATATTTTAATACTTCACAAAAATATTCACGATTTTTATTACACTTTTTAATATATTTACAAAATTTGAGTAGGTTTTCCCACCTTTTTTTTTTTTCCTCCCCCCAAACAAACAGCCATTGTCTCCCGTGCCTGCTATATCTTGAGGTTCAGAAAGGCTGAAGCGAGAAGGTGCGAGAGGCCCGGAGAGCTTGGGACTGGGGGCAGCTGGTGGAAGGGACTAAAGTGAAAGTGACTAACATTGCAGTTTGCGGATGCTGCGGGAGAACCGCTTAAAAGCCCGCTGCCCTTTCTGCCACCGCTTCAGTGAGGTGATAACCAGCTCCCCAGCCTGCTTTTGTCCCATCACTAAGTAGGGTACGCTTATGTCATCCATCTCATCACAGGTACACTGGAGGCCACCTTTGAGCCAGAGTACTATCTTCCTCAGATCCCTTTCTGTCAGCCCATTCAGCTTGTAGATGGTCTTGCTCTTTGTTTCAGGGGTGATCTTGGTGTCTCCATTGATGTAGGCGATCTCCTTCACTTTTATCTTCAGGGCTAATAGGGGGAAGGGGAGGGGGAGTGATGGGATGGGAGAGAGAAAGAGAGAGATTGAGAGGTTTTTTTTCCCATTAGTGTACATAAAGAAGACCTGGGGAGGGAGGTCTTCTATTGCTAATTAAACTGTCAGGGGCTGACTGAATGGGCAGCAGGTGGCTCCATTTCTAAAGCCACAAAGGGCATGCGAGTCATTTCAGTTTGAATCAACTTTAGGGTTTTTCCCCCTCCTTTTCTCCAGCATTTGCAAACCCAGAGAGGGCACATTTTGTACATTAAATATGTGTTAAGTTGTAACCTGGCAC